GTAATTACTTAAAATGTTTGTTGAAATTATTTGTTTTAATGTTGTTTATTTGCTCAAAGATTTTAAGTGTAAAGAGCTTGTCTAACTAATGTAGTAATTACTTAAAATGTTTGTTGAAATTATTTGTTTTAATGTTGTTTATTTGCTCAAAGATTTTAAGTGTAAAGAGCTTGTCTAACTAATGTAGTAATTACTTAAAACAACTTTTTCTCACATTATTCTTTTTAATTTTATCCTTGTCCTCAAAGATTTTGAGCACTAACAAAAGTCTCATTTTAAGTAGAAATTACTTAAAATATTCTTTAACATAGCTAAATATTTTGAGGTAATCAGTTTCATCAAATATTTTGAGTTAATTGAACCTGTTGGGGTTTACAGTGTTTCATGTTTTTTTGAACAGATAAGATGATTTAACAAAAGAGATTTTTTTTTTGTTTTGGCCTGAGGTCCAATCTGAAGTCCTACTATCGTGTTACATGATTTATTTAATTATTATCAGAAAGTTTAATTCTCTGAGTTTTGAGTTTTACAAATTATTGGAGGATATTTGAAAATGTTAATAATTGCAGATCAGGGAGAAGATAAACCAAGAGACAATGGGACATTACTGCAACAATCAAAAGTTTTCTTAATTTAATTTGAACCTTGAATACAGAAACTGGATTCATGAAAAACAGGATGTGTTACATCTCTAGATTTGGTTTCAAGATACTGGTCAGTTTCTCGTTCCTCTCAGGATCACATCTGACAGTGAGAATTAAGGACACTGGGACAAGGACTGCCCTCACTCTGGACCCACATAAGCCATGGATACATGAACGATATGCGAGGCCCAGGGGACCAGGACAACATAGGAGCAGACTGACTGAACTCAAATAATAAGGGAGGTACATCAGAGAGTAATGAAAGGACAAGAGGGCCAGCAAACTCCAGCTACACATCAAAAGACCCAGAGTACCAGGTGTGATGAAAGCATCACAGGCGGGAATGGGATAAGTCCAACACTACGTACTACAATAGGGGATTGGAGTGATATGGATATTATTTTCTATGATCAGTTGATATTTGCTGATAAGAACACTTATTGTGCTTTTTCTGTCTTACTCATTTTGAGGGGATGGATTGTACGACCTGTGAACCCAGGCACAAGACTACAAACCAACGTCTCCCGCCTGCAACAATACTGAAGGTGGGAACCTGTGATCCTGTGTTCATGCCTTTTAAAAGCCAAGGACAGAGCACTGAAGTAAAATAACTATATTTTTGATTTTTTCAACAGCAAATAAGACAACACAAGTATCGATTATTCTTGTATTCTGCAAATATAATCCTGATGATTGTAACATGCCATTGCTTTGCATAATAACCTGTATTACTGTTTTATTATTTCACATTGTAAACCATCCACAGCTGGCTGTTTAGAGGAGCACTGACTGACTGACTTCTGACTGACTTTTATTATTAATTATGATATTTAGTAACGGTAAGTTAATGGTTTCATTTAAAGGTTATATCTCCCAACTTACATCCATATCAGGCTGTGTCAGTAACACTAAGATTTCGTTTTTTCATTTAAACTTCACACACATGTAAGTGCACTTAGTCGCATAGTATTCACATCACGATGTAACATCAAAAGCAATGAACTACAGGGGGGAATGCTGAAGCAGTTTTATTGCCTTATATAGCCTCCTTCATGGCCTTATACTTACTTAGCAACAAAGCTGAAGGTCAAGTATGAGTCTTGGTAACAACAAGGTCTCTAAGGGCTGATTTGTACGAAATTAGATGATATATTAAGAGGTTTTGGCATAAGCAGAAAACGTCTATATAAACATTCTCTCAGTGTCAAAGCAACCTGTGGCGTCGATCAGCACACGTGAATTCCAGGAAGCTTTCCACATAGTATTCTGTTGTGCATGTGCATTTACATAATGCAAGATTGAAACTATAAAAGCAGCCTGAGATGAAATGAGGGTTGGGGGAAAAAAACCTAAGATGCCTGATGATGTAATGCTGAACTTATGAAGTGTTTAAGACAGCTGTATGAATTCGGATTTTGATTAAATGAGGTGAATCGTGTTGAGGTGGCTTTCTTTCTGTCATAAGAGAGTTTCTGAAATGAAATGAACAAAGTTTTAGAGCAACATATGGATTATGGATATTGCTTAGTTTGATCCCAAAGTAAACAACATTATTCTGTTTGTATAGATTTAAACACTAAAGTATTAAACCCAGAATACTTCTGCAGTTTGAAATTTTTTTCTAATGAATGTTTCTATAGCTGATGTTTTATGATGTTGTGGCTTTAACCAGTTTATAGCTACTTTTGCACAAGTCTGTGGAAGCGGTTGATAAACCTCAATCTACATAATAATTATTTACATCAACAAATACCAATGTCTGAAGTTACCGCTGTAGTTTTTTCAAACAATGCAGCTAAAATGCTGAGTTCTCATTTTAAATATGTTTTTCCAACTATACCAAAGATTTTCTTATTTGTTCAAGTGAAGACAAGTACATGGATTCAGAAAGCGTTTTCCATTCAGCTTTTTAATCAATATGTTTTCTAAATTAGACATGCATTTTTCAGGCTGTTGAGGAACAAAACACTTGCTAGCAAAGTACTAAACATCATTACAGGTTACAATAAAATAAGCTTAAATGGTTCAAGAAGTATTTTTATGAGATTTTCTTTCTTATTTGCAGTTTTTTATATCCATTTAATAGGATCCATCCACCCTGGACAGGACGTCCATCGCAGGGAAACACAGAGACACACAACCATGCACACACTCACAGCTAAGGGCAACTTAGAAACAGCAAACAGCCTCACATTCACTAGTTGGACTGTGGGAGGAAGCTGGAGTACCCTGAGAGAACCACACAGGCACATTCAAACTTTAACAATTTAACATGGAATAATGAGCAATTTATGAGCTTCACACCAGACTGGAAACTAGACGATTGTCCAGATGATCACTGATCCAGACCAGCTGCTACCCTCTAGGACCAGGAGAGTAACTAGTAGAGTCAAATATTGGATGAAATATTCTCTCTTTGCCGTCTTTAAACTGCTTCAGAATAATTATCAGTGGAAATTTACATGAAATATCAGAACATTTTCAATTAGACACTACAATGGTTATTGTGTCATTAAAACATTAGAAGTGAGAAAACCAACATTTCCAAGCTCAGCTCTAACATCTTTGCTTCCAAAC